TGTTTGAATTGAAGCGGAGTAAGTATTGGCCCTCTTCTAGTTCTCTTCTAGGTTTGTTTTTAGAGCTAGATACGGAATGAGATTATGGGAACGTGAAGAGAACAACGTCACATGCACCCACATGTGCTTCTCACATGCCCCATGGACCCCTCCCCTGGCCAAGAGAAGAGACCAACAGGACATCAATGCTTATGCTTGCTTGCTTGCTTCAACCTCATGCCACAATAATCTATGTATCTTTGCCTCCAAGTTAAATGTGAGCACAGTCAATGGTGTATATATATCGTTTTTATTGAAGGATCTCTCAAATAAAGTTTATTTAAGGAACACCTTTGTATTATAGGGCTCACTCTATATTGTATTTCACTAATCTAAACAATCTATTTGGTAAATATTCATTCAAAGATCATCTCTACAAAAAAAAATCACTTGAATCCAATATCATTTGACCACTCAATTAAATTATTAAAATTTAAGTACTTTCTTGAAGTACCGTGTTCAATGATTTTGTTGGTCTCAATTAGATGTCTTAATAATTTTCAATTTGCATAATTTTTTTTGCAAAGATAATCTCTGAATGAATATGTGGAAAATAGATGGTTTAGATCATTGAAATTTTTTTTTGTAAGATACCCTAAATGGTGTTCCTCAAATAAAATTATTTAAAGAATCCCTCAATAAAAAAATATTGTATATATATATATAACCAATATTCAATATATTATATACAATATTATGCATGATCTGCTTTTATGCTTATAATTATTGGGGAAGTGACACTTTATTTGTGCTCCACTCCACACCGTACGGAGACATTACGAATTTGCACTTACTATTATATTTTGGGAGAGCCCACGATTAATAAGAAAATCTTATTTGGTTTCAAATATAATTTGCTGCAAAAATACATTGCTAATTTTACGCTACTCCAGTTTAGTTCCATGCTTCAACTCGACCCACGGATATGCATTTCATTATAATAATAAAAAATTAATGGGTTCATATGGTTGTAATTTTATTTTTTATTTTTTATTTTTGTAAGTAACAAGGAAATTCTATGTTACATACTCAACTCTGTCATTAGGTTAAAGGCCTTATGATGGTAAGTCTGGAATATATATGTATCAAATATATTAAATTTTGTGCAAACATTCAACTCTTGCATAAGTAACTATTTTTTTCTTGAGTCTCGAAAAAATCCCGACGATTAATACAAGGACTTTAGGACATGAATATGTGAAATTATCTGTAAACTACACGTATTATGTTGGAAGCAATCCAAAGTTCGAATCCTAATTGATATAATAAGAGAAAATTTAGACTGGGTTTAGGGACAAGCACTACTTTGAAGCCTCTCTTTTTCGAACTTTGTCTGAGCTCACTTGACCATTTAGCTGAAAATTAATTTCCCACCTAGCTTTAGTTAATAAAGTGATGATGATGAAGGGTGGCGATCCAAGATTTGCTCATTTCAACAACATCATCATTGCAAATACTATTCGGCGCCCTCACCAGTCACCTCACACACTTACTAGTAATGAGATCTTAATTAACCTTTTGCTTCCTTTCACATACTTCTCTTTCGCTTAAACTCTAAAAAAAATGTTTATTTTGCATATTCTGAGTTGAGGGTATTTTTGCTCATCACTTTAATTCAGAATGTATCATTATCATTATTCTCGATACTTGATACATATTCATAAACATAACCATGATTCTATGAAAATATACCTTGAATTAAAGTGATAGTGAGCAAAACTAGTTCCATTATGCGTCTGCTTTTGAAGCATTGCATTGATCTTCGGTATCATCGTCACAAAAACATTCTGCTATAATATCATTTGATCACTTTCATATCTATTTACTAAAGCAACCCCATCCCAATGTGTCTCATAAATATATACATACAACAACAAGAAGTTGGCATTGCCGCATCAAAAAAACAAACAAGTTGGCATTGTTTTATTCTGCGTTGGTTGCATTTGTTCCTATCATATTAAGTACCCCGTCGTGACCTCCACACCACGGAATTTGGATAAATAAGAGTGGCCTAGTTGTTTTTTTCGTATAATCCACATTTTCATATTATAATAAGGGGCAAGTATCCGTAATGCTACGTACGTGTATACTATATTTCCGAACTACATATTGTTTATCTCATATCTTATAATATCTTATACAGATGTTTTTCACTTATTTACGTAAGTCCCATCTTAACAAGAAAAATTATCAGTAAATATGATAAAAATAGTTCTATTAGTCTTTGAACACGTCTATTACTCAATCAGTAGAGCTTATATATATTTATTCCCAAGTTCGTACGCTTTTACTTATGTTTTATTGTGCTAATTTTTAGCTAATTATGCGTAAAACACAACATTGTTTTTTTTAAGTAAACTAGAATCATGTTCCTCTCATAATTTCATGGCTTGAGTTTAGACTTAAAACTTATTTTAACAAAATAAACAGAAATTATTATACAATACATAGACATGGTCACGTGATATAACACGTCCATGTGTATCTCTCTCCAAGTGGATTTTCATGACCGCATCCTAATTAATGTCCAAAGCTACCTCCAAAACCCTGTTTCTATCAGTATATAATTTTTAAAATCCTAAAAATCATGACTCATGAGTTGAAGAAATTGAATGATGTGACAGAATATATAGACAAACACTTACCCACAGGGGCAACATCAATATTATTAATACTAAGATATTGTTTAGACAAAACCTAAAAATAGTAAAAGCTTACGTTAATTCATCAGGCAATTCAAGACTTTTTGGTAGAGACAGATGCATGAGGTGGGTGCCTCAGACCAATGGGAACAGTCTAAGATGATATTATTGCTGTACTTAATTTCTTAAACTAACTTAAATTCAAATATTAATTATGACATTAATCTAAGGCAGTCATTTCATTGAGGTCATTTGTGGGGTTAACTTGTGATCACCTTAAATAGGTTCTTTGCTTTGATTATTATTTATTCGTTTTCATCTTCCATTAGGTGTGTTTGGTTGACAGTTGCTCACTACCAATCTCAGTTTTTTCATACCCATTAACTGCTAAGGTCAACAACAACAACTCCCTCCAGCATTTTCTGAACACATCTATCGAAATTTCATAACCCCAAGCTCCTATTTCACTGATTATATCGATAGTAGTCTTGAACTAATATGTGGCATCAATTGCATATTAATCATACTCTACTCAAATTGCAGCAAGAATTAGTCCATGATAGTGATATTTTGATTAATTTTCAAGTTTATGACCGCCATCATATTTCTAACACATCGTGTGGGTTAGAAATTAGAAATAGCATGGTAATTACATTACCCCACTTTTAACGTACGTACCACTTTGATCCTTGCAGGTCATTTTCTACATAATTTTTACATGTTATTATTATATGAACTATATCGTATTTTCTAAAGTATCGTGTGCGTATGATCTATTATTATCAAGAGAAAATTATAAATCAACTCAGAAAGATTTAAACAACTCCATTGACTAAAGAGGATTGCACTTTTTTAACGAGGATTGTGGCCAAAACTTAAAAGAGAGTAAGTATCAAATTCCTCTTTGCTTGTGTTGCATAATGGTCTTCTTTTTGTTTTGAGAGAGAGAGAAGAGAGAGGTATTTTCTTTTTATGAAGACAAGTTAAGGGGGAGGGAGGCTAACCTATCCTAGAATTAGGGCATACTAAGGCCTCTTTGATAATTTATAAAGAGGGTTTTAGCTCATATTTTGGTTTTTACAGATACCCACTAAGAGAGATTGTCGATATCGAAATTTGAATATAGACCTTGATAGCAAAGAGAACGATTCCTTTTTATTTTATATTTTTTTTATAGTAAAACCGTTGAATGACCTTTTTAGCTGATGCAATCATGCAATGTATTCATGGGAATTATTATTAATTACGAACACCTCGTGCGTAGATTGCTATTTAGTATATTGTAGTTTTCGCAGCAGAAAATTCATCGTTTGACTTTCTTCTATACCAAGTCATTAGCCAACAATTTCTCACAGATTATCTGGTCCCATTATTCATGCCTTTTTTTGGTTTATTTAATTTGACCCAGGATTTACATGCCGAATGACATTGAAACCTTGAATTTTGTTGCCAAATCCACCAATATTCCTGATTAATGATATCAAATTTAAACTCATACCAAGTCCAAGGCCAACATGAAAATAAATACTATTGAAGTCAACGTCACCTATCCATAAACTCAATCTAATCTCTTATTAGACAACCAAATGCAACCTATTGCTCATTCAAGGTGACAAAGTCAGACCCACAAATTTATGTGCAACTCTTGGACCATTCCTGCATTCCATGAAAATTGATCAAAATTGGTGCACCCACCAATTTTCATATATTGAATTCAATAGTTAATAGTCTCTCAGCCAGTGCACCAACCAAGTCTCCAAGACCCCCTTCCCAATTTATTTATTTATTTTGTAATGTAATACATATTTATTGTTGATAAAGTTCTCTCGTCACACATCATAATTTTAACATCTCGTTACGATTTGGGACTGTATTACATGTTCAAACAAAATTCACCTCGTTACAATTTGGGTTGACAACCTCATTAACAAAATCCACCTCCTGCACGATTCAATTTGACACCATAATCAATAATATCTAACTCGTTTACGATTCGGAGTAACATGTTGACAGCTTAACAACATAATATTAAAGTTGTATTACCCTTTACTTTCTTATTTTGAAAAATCACAAATCCCAAGAATTTGGGCATATTGGTCCATTCACACACAAAGCGAGGCCAATTTTAGGGGCAATAGGGAGGCGCGTTTCATTTCATTATGTCAGCGGCGACTCACGGTATTTAAGAAGCCAGCCAAAAACATACCATTATATTTATACATATACCATAATTATTCACTGTTTCTTTCTGTATTTCCTTCATTACTTTCTCACACCAACTTTCTTTTTCATTTTCTCTGTTTCCCTTCAAATATTTTCGTCTCCTACATCATAATCATATTCTCTTTTTTCATCCTTGGAATCTCTCTCTCTCTCTCTTTCTCAAGTCTCGACACTTTCACTTGTTCTCTTCCTTACTCCAGCAAATCACGTAACAGTTTCTCAGCATATACAGGTAATATCCAAAGCGTGTTAGTAAAACCACTAAAGCTAAAGCTGCACGTCAATGTTTTGGTTTGATTTATTCTTTTTGTTTTGATTTTGCTTCTTTTTGCTGTTCAATTTCTGGTGTTTTCGTTTTCCTGGCCAGGCCATGATCTGTTGGGGGGTTTTTCTTGAATCTCTGTTTGGTTGCCGAGAAAAGAAAAGTTGAGTTGAATGAAAGGAAAGAAAAGTGAAACTGACTTTAAGTAGGTCCAATATAACTTGCATTGGGCTAAATGGGTTTTTATATTAATTTCTTTTTATGATTATGCTGTACTTTCTTTTCCTGGTTTTATGAGCAACCAAACAGAGCATTGTTGGATTTGTGGTTGACCCATTTCTTAGATTTTCGATTATATCCATGAATTTGATTTGGTATGGGAGATCTCTGTTCAGTTTGATTTGGTTAAATGGGAAGCAGATCAAGGAATTTTCTGTCACTATACATTTGATATCTTACTTAATGCTGTTGATTTTTGCTTTTCCCACATTAATTAAGCTTTTATTTTGAAAAAAACAAAAACGGTTTGGGTTGTTTTTACTCCCCTTCCCCCCGGCCCCCAGAAAAGAGAAAATACGAATCGTGTAACTGTTTTTTTTGTCTTAGTACTGTTACAAGGATTTTAATGTAAACAGAGTTGAGGTTGAACTAGTTTGAAGCTATAAGTGAATTGACGAGGTTATGCTTGTCCAACGTTAATTTCATGTTCAAACTTGGAACTGGGAGCTAAAATTGCATTATTTAAGACATACTTTTTCTTCTTGAATACTAGATTTTTTTTGTATACATAATTTGGAGTTTGTTATTTTATTTTCACTTCTTTGATGGCTATGCATATCAAACAAATTGTTCAAAATTGACCTCACAACTTTCAAGTCCATTGGTCATTTTGCAGGTTTTTCAATGGCTTTGATCATTGAATAGGCACTAAAGTACATTTGAGGAGATGAAAGGCGAGCCGGCTGGGCTGATAATCGGGGTATCTATAGGGGTAGTGATTGGAGTGCTTTTGGCAATTTCTGGATTCTTCTGCATTAGGTACCATAGGAGGCGCTTGCAGATAGGGAACAGCAGTTCTCGGAGGACAGCCACTATTCCTATCCGTGCTAATGGTGCTGACTCTTGTACTATATTGTCAGACTCGACCATTGGTCCAGATTCACCTGTCAAATCCGGACGCAATGGTTCCTCCTTCTGGCTTGAGGGATTTAAGAAGAGTAATGTGGTCTCAATGTCAGGAATACCCGAGTATTCTTACAAGTAATGTTTCCAGAAAAATTATTACTCTCATGCACCTTAGTTCTTGATTTAGATGATATGTTTTCTATCATATCATTGCTTGTTCCGTATGGAAAGTATTGAATCATGTTTAGTGGAATTATTTAGCATTCTATCTTTACGGTCTTGGTGATAATGAGTTGACTAACTGGTAATGGCTGAATTCTAAGCCTGTATAGTTGATAGAAACCAACTGGAGTATGTGTCGTAAACATTTGAACACCAGAGGATCAATCTATGTGAATACAGTAGATAGCTTGAATGCTTGTTAGAGTTTACCCCTCATTACTTTGTTACAATTGTTATAACAGAGTTGTTAAATTTCCGAGGAATGTGTCCTCTGATAGTGTACATTTACTTAAAACATGTAGACTCATCCAAACAAGCAATAAATGCATCTTATGTGAGATGCCTAATGCCATTCATTTATAACTGCAAAACGCCTAGATTCGTCATGAACTGTTCAATTTCTTGCTTTTGAAGTATTAACTACCTAGTACTTGTTTTTTTTTTGTTGACATTCACAATGAATTTTTATATATTATTATTCTTAAAGGAGATTCAGTTTATTTTTGCACAGCTAAGGTCTTGATCCCCCTTTGCAGTTGGCGTATTAGTTTAACTTGTTAATTGGGTACATACAGGGATCTGCAAAAAGCAACCTATAACTTTACAACATTGATAGGGCAAGGTGCGTTTGGTCCTGTGTACAAAGCTCAGATGTCAACGGGTGAGACTGTTGCAGTTAAAGTTCTTGCAACTGATTCTAAACAAGGGGAGAAAGAGTTCCAGACTGAGGTAATGTTCATTTAATATTTTACTATTTTTAGGGTCCCTACAAAGTAATTGTTTATACTCTTAACCAATTCGCTTCTGTCTTTTAGAAAAATATTCGTATTTTGCTTTCTTAATGGCATCACGATGTTTTGATTAATGTCACGTAATGAATTTCATTTTTAAGTATAAAATCTATTCTGGATTGTTTCATCATTTATAGTCCCTCACCAATCTTTTGCCTTCAGGTTAAGCTATTGGGAAGGTTGCATCACAGAAACCTCGTGAACTTAATTGGATATTGTGCAGAAAAAGGGCAACATATGCTTATATATGTCTACATGAGTAAAGGCAGCTTGGCCTCTCATTTATACAGTAAGATGACTACAGAACTTCAAATATGTTTCTTTTAATGGAATTTCTTAGGGTTATCACTCAAGTTTTTATGTTTGTTTTAATGGTCACTGTTCTGACATATTCTGATTCCACTTCTGTTCATGTAATGACCACTGTGAATTGTTAACTTTGCAATTGTTGTTGGAAAGGATGATGTTAACTATGTCTTAGTGCATTCAGTTTACACAGGAATAGAAAGAAGAACAAGATTGAAATTTGAAAGAAAATGCAGATTTGATATGCAAGATGTTTAATTGAAAATAACATGCTTTTCTTTGTGCAGGTGAAAAGCATGAGCCGTTGAGCTGGGATTTGAGGGTTCTTATAGCTTTAGATGTGGCAAGAGGCTTGGAGTATCTTCATGATGGAGTATGTCAATCTTACTGTACTAAAACATAATGAATTGCTTTTGTGCCTGTGCATGTGTTTATGCTCAAAAGTGTTTATTTGTTGATTTGTTGATTTGTTGTTTCTGTTTATGCTCAAGGTGTTTATTTATTGAACTTTAATTTTCCACTCCAGGCAGTTCCTCCTGTAATACACCGTGATATTAAATCTTCCAATATTCTGTTGGATCAGTCCATGAGAGCCAGGGTATGTGTTTTAATTTTGTATAATCATTTTTCCAAAAGCAGATTCGTAAAGATATCACACTGTGTAAAGGGAGTATTTGATTTACTTCCCAAATGTGGAAGAAATTTTTGCATTTTGGATTTTACTTTCCAAATATATGCATATATTTATGAACTTAAAAGTAATAAAACTTATAAAAGGTTAGGCTGCCAATTATGATATTATAGAGGGTTATTCTGGATCAAGCAGGTAGCTGATTTTGGACTTTCAAGAGAAGAAATGGTGGACAAACATGCAGCTAATATTAGGGGCACGTTTGGTTATCTTGATCCTGAGTATATATCTACAAGGAATTTCACCAAGAAAAGTGACGTTTACAGCTTTGGAGTTTTGCTCTTTGAACTCATAGCTGGAAGAAATCCTCAACAAGGTCTCATGGAATATGTTGAGCTTGTAAGATCTCTCTCTCTCTCTCTCCCTCCCTTTTCACCGCACACGACCGGGGATAGGTAGGTGAAACAGGGAAGGGAATTTTAAGGTTGATTTGACCATGTGACAATATTGATAACCCAGGAACATAAAGAGATCATTAGACATTGTTATGGCAGCTTTTTATCCATTACACTTGCATAAGGGTCTTTGATTCTTTTTCATTTTTTTGTCTGTCTGCTATAGTGATACATAGCTGTAGTTTTGCATGTGTGTATCTTTTTTTGCTCGCACTTTTGCTTGGCTAGGTTGTCTATATATATGAATAAAATAGCTGCAATTGTCTAGTTTTAGAAGAACAATGAAGGGGAAGACTGTCGTGGACTTTTGTTGCAGAAGTACATATCCACTTAAAATCCAATTAATGCTATTTATTTGCTTATCTAATTAACTTTCTATGTGAAAAATAGGCCGCTATGAATACGGAGGGGAAAGTTGGGTGGGAAGAAATTGTGGATTCCCGTCTTAATGGGAACTGCCATATGCAAGAGCTCAACGAAGTGGCAGCTCTTGCATATAAATGTGTCAACCGTGCCCCAAAGAAACGGCCTTCCATGAGAGACATTGTACAAGTGCTATCACGGATGCTCAAAATGAGGCACAACAGGAAGCACATGAAATCCTCGTCATCCGTAACAGATGAAGTCACAATCGACGTGAACCAACCAGAAACCAAAATCCAAATGGCTGAACATCGAAGAGAGGAGTCTGCGGACAGCATAGCTGATACCTATGAAGTATAGACGATAGTTTTCCCATTTGTTCATTTTTTTTAAAAATTTCTTGGTTTTTTGGCTTTGCTTTTTTGATACATGTGCAGTCTTTGATGGGCTAGAACTAGCAGATTTCAAGTAGTTCTGATTTCTGCTCGAGTGACAGGATTTCAGTTCAGCATTTTTACTCTGTAACATATCTTTTTCTCTTTCTTCCTCCCTGTTTTGCTCAAATGACAGGTTTCTAATTTGTATACCGTTCTCAATCAATGGAAATGAAGGAACTTGTTTCCCATTAATTGCAGTGTTATATAATTTATTATTTTAATATCCTACAAAAAGTTTGTATTTGTTCAACATGTTGGCTTTCCTATGTAATTTGAACCAAAAGGCAAACCTTTCCACCCAAAAAATAAATAAAAATTGGGAACATCACCAAAATAACAAGGGCGATTCTATGAATACAAATACCGGGGTTAGGCCAATTGGTCAGGGCAGTTAATCGCCTCCTTGCATTCAAGTTTCAGTCCCCTTCTTCACATTTTAGATTAATTTAGAGTAATTTAGACAATCGCTTGTATAAATAAATAAAAAAATCAACACAAATACCATAGATAAATTCTGGTTGTCCAACAATTCTTGTGTGTCCAAAAAATCACCCTTACCGAAAAGTTGGGTTGGGCTTTACTTCGTCTCTTCACTAAAATCTAATAAGGCCCAAATTACATATAGTCCCTTGCTCCCTCCAAACCCATCTTTAAGTAAGAAGTAGCTACGTCGTCGTTTTCGTCCCAATCCTATATTGCAACAAGTTTACACTCTTTTAAGCTCTGCTCTGTATTATCCATTTCTCAATCGCAGCCAAGTACACGCAAGCAACGAAAATGGCAGCCATGGCTGCACTTCAGAGCTCCATGACCTCTCTTTCTCTCTCCTCTAACTCCTTCCTGGGCCAACGACTCTTAACCCCTACTCTTTACCCTGTCCCGGTACGATTTCGGTTTCTCCTTCAATTCTTATATCAAATTTCTTTTATTTTGTTGCTTTCAATTTCAACTCATTGTGAAAAAGTTCTGCTAAAATAAAAATAACACTCACATTGTCAGGATTGGAAGCTCAAACTTGTTGTTATTGCTGTATTTCCGTTATTTTTGCTTGTAACACTGAAATGGGTCTTGCTTAAAATTTAACTAGCTCTTTGTTCTAGTGGTTCGTGCAAATTGATGTGATTTTCCTTTACTCTGTGAAAATGGATTCCTTGATTAAGATTTCAAACTGGACTTTCTAAGAATTGGAGAGATGATAAGGAAATGGATAATGTTTTGATGGGTTATTTGTAAAATTTGAAGAAACTGTTCTTTTGGTTATGGTTCTGACATTGGTGGATTGTTTATTCAAAATGTTCAAAGTTGGTATTGAAGGTTTGTATTCTTCTGTTGGAAATTTTAATAGAAACCAGATGCCGGTTTGATTAAGAGGTTTTAATAGTGAAGGAAGATTGCCGGTAGACTATTTTGGAATTTGTTGTGTATAAGATTTAGTATTAGGTGCTTAGTGTTTTGTTTCTTAATGAAACTTTGACTACAATTACTGCATGCTATTCCCACTACCTAAGAATGAAAATGTGCTAACACCCTGTAGATTAGCTTCTCCCCTGGTATTTGTGTTAGGATTTAATGACATCTAGTAAAGGATTGTTTTTTTTTTTTTTTTTTCCCAGGTTTGTAAGTGAAAATAGTTGCCTATATTAGTGGATGAATAGTTTTTACTTCACTGACATGAAACTAATTGCATGAATTAATGCTTTAGCTGGATAAACCTTTAGCTTTCGGTTTAATGATGAGTTGGCTTCATTTTGTGATCTTGCATTCTGTTTACACAGTCGTGAGCAGGCTTTTTGTAACCCACATACTGACTGTGACACCGATCAGTTCATTCTACTAGAATGGTTTTATTTCTTTTCATGATTTTATGTAAATGTCTCAAAGATGGGATCTAATAAAGTTTTGAAACAAAATGTGTCATGTTATATTTTAATAATTTGTTTTAAGTTTACTAGTAAGTTTGTTAAAGTATATGCTTTGTTTTTATTATTTTATTTTTTATGAGCTCATATTTCTATATTGGTTTTGTTTTATATTTGGTTCTTTATGTCATCTGAGAGAAACAAAATTGTTAAATGTCAAAGTGATGAGAATTTTTTTTATTCCACTCACGCTGAAGCATGAGTTTGAATCACTGATCACTGGGAGGATAAAAAAAACCATTGCATAACAGTTTGTCTACTTGTGTTGTGCGCAGGCTAATTTAACAGCGAAGCCTTGCCTCATTGTAGTGAAGGTTAGTATCACGAGTCCTATCTCTACCAATATTTGTTTTTTCTTTATCTTTGTCAATAACTTATTTTGTTGTACAGAACCAGAATATGATAACTGTTTAAACAAAAATAAAAGATTTATGTATTTAGGATAAAAAAGTTAGTGAGAAAGATGGCAATGAAATTGCTGACTTACTAGTTTCTAAAAGTAGTGCTCTCCTCTCTCTTGGAAAAAAAAAGTAGTGCTCTCCTTGTAATTCTTTTGGAAGCAATCTTCTATTATGCAATTTCACTTATAATTTTCTCCAAAATTTACCACTAAATGGGATATTCCACTCTCCCAAGCCATCTGGTTTTAGAAGAGCCATACAGTGGGCATTTTGTTGCAACTTATCCATGAATGTGGTGGAGAGGTCTTTATCTTGATTTTGTTCTGGCTAAACCAAGATAAAACTTTGTTTCAATTTGCTTGGCATGGTTCACATAATTTAACATCCTTTTCTTTTGAAAAATCTATTTTGTAATATGGGTTCGCATGTAGCTTATTGGGCTGCTCATCCATTTTCCTGAAATGTTGCTTTTTTGCCCTTGCACAGCTCAAGCGATGGGAGCGGAAAGAATGCAAGCCAAACAGCCTTCCTGTTTTACACAAAATGCATGTTAAGGTTGGAGATACGGTGAAAGTCATATCTGGGCATGAAAAGGGTAAAACTGGAGAGATAACAAAGATCTATAAGCACAATAGCACTGTGATAGTTAAAGACATAAACTTGAAGACGAAGCATATGAAGAGCAGGGAAGAGGGTGAACCAGGACAGATTATTAAGGTTCTTTTTCTTTCTTAAAATGTGTACTCATCAACATATTGGTTCTTATGTTTTCTCATTTACTAGTTTCATTTAATTACAAAGAAACAGTTTAAATTTCATATTCCAGGTAGAAGGAGCTATCCACAGCTCGAATGTGATGCTTTACTCAAAAGAAAAAGATGTAGCAAGTCGAGTGGGTCATAAGATTCTGGAAAATGGACAACGAGTTCGCTACCTCATCAAAACTGGTGAAATAGTAGATAATGTAGAGAACTGGAAGAAACTGAAGGAAGAAAAAAGGAAAACTGAAGTAGCTGCCACTTCTGCATAAGGATCCAATTCTTGCCTGAACAATGTTGTAGTTTAGACACTCTAGATGTATTCATATCATTTTGTTGTTTGTATTGGTTAAATACCTTGGCATGCCCCTTGACTGATGCACATGCAACAGAGTAATATAAGTTTGTGTATTTGTGTTGGTTGAATGACAAATTAGAATGTTGATCTTTCTCCAAAACTTGCAGCTTCTTGTTAATGCACATAATGCGGTCTTGACATTCAGGATCTAGGGAAAGTGTTAGCATCAGTTGCGAGTAGACGCGTGACGCATTCCGAGCAGTCGATTTCTGTGTTCCCCACAATTATTGACTCATCTCTAATGTGACACACGCCCATGCGTAACTGACACTAACACTCCAGAATTTATTGTTGTTTTCTTGATCAAGATACGATGGGTCTTCTCTAAACACAAATGAAAGCATATCCTTCTGACTGTTGCACTTGTTCCAACTGTTGGGTTGGGACACAACCGGAAGGATGGAATGTGACTTGTTAAAATTCAAATCGGAAACATGTCCTTGTGATCTGGATTTGATGTTAAAGTATTAAATTGTACAATATAGATGGTTCAAATCCATACATAGCGATTTATTTATTTATTTTCGCTCTTTTGGTGCTTGGGAGGACAGTGTACAAAGACTAATATATTATGGATGTAGACCATTTAGACATATAAAACCTCGAACACTACGAACAGTGACTTGAGTTGGTAGTTTAAAACCTGAAGCTTTTCCTTGAAAAATTAATATGAGATGTGATATTAAGGTAATGAGATTAGGTCTTTTATAACTAATGCATTCCTCCTCACATGAGAGATCACCTTGCTAAAGTTTCCTGAATTAACATGTGATGTAAGAAATGAGAGAAGGACGTGTAAATATAGACAGTTCGAATCATTAAATCGCAATACAGAGTGGTTCCAGAAAAATGACCTCAAATGTATTCATTTATAAAGTTAGTATAGGATTATTAGAAAGTTCGTAAATGTATTGTTAAATTATTCTATTGCCCTAACTTATGCATTATTTACTCTATATTTAATAACGAAATTGACCTTTTACTCCCTTCGGTTGACAATAAAGGGTTTCCTCCAGTAGGTGTGAAGTGTCAATGTTGTCCTATTAGAGCACTTCCACCCATTTGTCATGGTAAAAGACAAGGGGAGGTAAGGGAAATTACTGTTCACATAAATAGTAACTACCTTAGTAATTTTTTAGATGCATTCCCACTCATTGTCATGGCAACTTAGGGGCAACTATTATTCACATGAGATATAAGGAGAGGAATTTGTACGGAGTTTTGGTATGGGAAGTGAAGATATGGCTAGGTATTTACAGAAAAAAGATTTATGAATTTTTTGGTTTTTTTTTTTGATTTATAGAAAAAAAATTTATGAATTTTTTGGTTTTTTTTTTTCATCATTTGTTGGGTATTTAAATTGGTTGTTGTCATCACAATGACGTCAACAGGAGGTCAACTTGCCCAGACAGCAGCCCAGGTTGGTGGAGCTCAGCGCACCTTGCAAACTTTGGCATTTGAAAACAGAATTGAGGGCCTAGGGGGCTTCTTGCCTGAACTAACCCCTCCCGCTAGAAATAGTCTTAACATTAAACAATTGGTTTACCAAAATTTCTCCCACCCTCATATCATAACTCAGTCGTATGGATAGATAACTAAAAAGAAAGAAAATCTCATGACAAGTGGCATCCTTAAATTACGATACATTTTCTTTAGGGTAAACTACCAAATACTCCCATGAACTATCACGCTCATAGAAATCTCCACTTTGAATTATTTTTTCAGCTAATTTAGCCT